TCTGTACAGGACGGAAACTTGTAGAATATACTCGTAATAACAACAATGTACAACCCCAGAGGTCATATCTCAAGAAACAGTGCCTGTTAGCCTTCGAACAACCCACAGCAGTCGAAAATAGAAATCTACAATAGCGACCGTAGATCACTGCGCCTTAGCTGCGTAGTCTATGGTTTCCTGTTCTTTCTACAATAATTGCAGGTGTACAAAAAGTTAGGAAGTTAGGAAGGCGTTTTTTATAGCGTAAGGTAGGCTTAACTTAGTAATTTGTTATTAAGGATCTTTAACTTGCTGTTACTGTGCACGATGTCCTCCAGTGGAAGAAAATAGCTCAAGATAAGGTGATAACTAAATTGCTAAACTGATTTGCTAAATAATATGAGGATCCTTTAATATGATCTATATTAATGATACAAAATAATGGTAAACTGTAATTTGATTCCAGATGCCAAAACAACAATTCAGGAAATGGTGATGCTTTTGAAAGACTTGTAACTCTTAAACGGCTACACCCATGAAAAACTGCATTCGTTGCGTTTTTTTAGAGTATTATCTGGGCTTCGATATTAAATTTGTATATAAAATATGTTTCAATAGGAGTCATATTTACCGAGGTATAAGCAAACAAGTGAAAAATTTGATATTTAACCCCTTCCCCCTCCTCGAGTTCAACGTGTTTCTTTGGGAACGCTTAACACATCATCCCAATCAGCTCAATTTGTTAATTTGGCGACAATAACTACAGATATTTTTCAGGAAACGAAAAACAGCCTTAGTTGTAATAGTAAAGTTTGAAACTTGCGGTAGTCTAACACATTTAAATCTTAATACTTTGTGTTTTGACATTGAAAGGTATAGTCTGTGAAGTAGTGTGTGTAGTGTTCATCCTAAATACTAACGCCCCATTAATATTAAATACCACCTATTTTCCTCCCAATAAAACATTCCTAATATCCCTGTATCCACTTTTTCCGACACACTTACCCTTACATGGAACTTTGTAAATTAAAAAAATACAGAAACATTATTAAAACATCCAGATATATTTACAAAACTAGTCTAATAAAAATGTTAGACGAAAAATATCGTGACTATATTTGTTTTTACACAGATGGCTCGAAATCTGTCCAACATGTTGGCTGTGGTTTTTTGCAGCCCGGTTGCTAATAAAAAAATTAGATTACCTAATTTCTATGGCATTTTAACAGCCGAACTCAGCTATTTATCAGGCTATTATCCAAATTCGGAGCATGCCACCGATTGAAGCATTAATGCTATCTGATTCACTTAGTTTCCTCAACAGTATTGCTTCTTTAAACTCCAAAAGTTCTCTAACCTGCAACATTCGAGATCTAGTATATAAGCTTACTGAGAAAGAAACTACAATATTAACTTTATGTGGATTCCTGGACACTCTGATATTGCTGGTAACGATCGAGCAGACAAACTAGCTAACGAGGCAACTCAATGCGTTGTCGATTTCAGGAATTTTCACAAAATAGTGTTTTTCGGTATGTGTACGTCAAAATGTATGGGACATCATCGAGGGAACTACTAAACTTAGATCACATAATACCACTTCTTCATCTGTATCAAAATATATATCCTCTTGAACGCGGATCTTTCTGTAAAGTTGTTAGAATACTCATATATCTGTAAAGTTGTACAGAACACTCATATCTTACCAAATCCTATATCATCAGAAATGAACACCCTCCGAAATGAACCTTATGCAATATCTTAATGTCAATGAGACACATTTATTTTTAATGCTTACCTGTTGCCTCCCATAGGTCTAGATTCTTTAATGCTATTACCTGTGAGAATATTTTCGTGCCTTTTAACATTTCGAAGATTATTATTATGGAATTCTTAGACAGCATCAACATAACGAAAAAACTTTAATTTCTAATAATTTAAAATAACTTCACATTACCTAAAGTTTTATTATTGAGCGCTAAAAAAACCCTCGCTGTGTTGACGCGCTCTATAAACCAATACCTCTCTTTGTGTTTTATCTAGATAAAAATACTCTGACGCAATTGTCATCTTTCGTGAGTCGAACTATATACGCTAAATAATTTCGTAGTAATTTTTAAGGGCCGGCAACCCCGCTTCCGTTCCATCCCGTCCATCACCGGACGTACTAACCGGTCTGCCACGGACACGCCGTGTTTTTCGACATGTCGCATGTCGACGTCATGTCCCCGTTGACGTTGACGTAATTTACTGGCGGCGGTCGCGACCGATGTCGAATTATTTACAGGCGAAGTTTTCCGAACGACCGCGACAGCGGTGCGTTGTTGCCGGTTATCAGTGTCGATAAATTAGCGAAAGATCGGGGGCGGTGACGTCCTAATGGTGGTTGCGGCGGACACCGGTTATCTGTTACTCGAACAACTTCGGACTGTCTCTCATGTTGGATGTGTTAATACAAACAGAAACAATCCAGTGTAAAGAAAAACTAAATGATAGTGTGTAGTAGACAATAGTTTATAAATTTTCGCATTCGAGTGTCAATTTATACAGGGTGCTACAAATTCGAGGTAGAAGCATTTGTATCTCGGAAACCGTAATAGACATGAAGGTGGTTAAATTGGGACAAATTTGCGATTTGGGATGTTCACCAAGATTCCATCAAAAAAATTAAAAAATTTCAAGGATTGCTGAGTTTTTTGGAAAAACGGATTTTTTTGAAAATCAATTTTAATTTTTCCTGCCGTTACTTTTTAGAAAATCAAAAAACTAATTGCACATTCTCATAGCCACTTTATTAGGGCTATCTGACAGTATTTTTGGATTTTTAAATTAGTTGATAATTTGTGAGATACAGAGGACCTGCATTTATTATTTCAGAATTTGAAATAACTCGGTTTTCTGAGTATAATGATATGCACTTTATACTTTTTTTTTGGACCTTAACAACAACAAAACTATTTAATTATTATTTAGAATAATTTCAAGTCCGACTCTGTTTTTTTTTAAATTATTTAATCTGATTATATTGGTCTCAACAATATTGATCAGCGCTAATTAACATTAAATAAGGAAAATCAAGCCAATTAAAAGATTCAAATAAATAATATCCAGGTCAATTTAAATATGTTATTTTTAACTTTTTTATTGTGAATTTGAAATCTCAGTGTACAATCTAATAATATGCATAATATTAATCGTAGTTATTATAAATAAATCAACTTCGACAAACTAGTTTTTAATGCTCTACATGTTCGAAAGGGTTGCCACCTCTATTGCACAAATTTATTATTCGTTCAATTTTATTTATAGCTCTTTAAACATATCTTCTTCTTATTCTCCCAAAAGCATTTTGTACTCTTTATTTTAAATGTTGAAATATATTGATTTCACTTTTACAAATGACGTGAAGTAATGCCCCCCCCCCTCCCCTTGGCGACAGATCCAGGAACCTCGCTGGCCATTATACTGCTCCTATCATTTCCAATCCATCTTCCGGGGAAATGATTTGATTGTTTATATTATATTATATTTATATTATTTATTTTATTACATTTTATTCTCCGTATTCAATATTTTACCCCACGTCATTGTTAAGTTTGTAGGCTTATCAATATTGTAACGATGAACAGATTAAATATTTAAAAAAAAATTAGAATCGGACTTGAAATTAGTTTAAATAAATTGTGTTCAAATATCCGAAACAAAAAAAGTATAAAGTGTGGCATATCATTGTACTCGGGAGACCGAGTGTTCTTTCAAAAACTCAAATAAAAAATACAGGTCTGTATTTAAAAAAAATTAAGTCGGCCTCTGTATCTCACAAATTATCAGCTAATTTTAAAATCTAAAAATACATTATAGCCCTAATAAAGTGGCTATAAGAATGTGCTATTAGTTTTTTGATTTTCTAAAAAGTTTTCTAAAAACAGGAAGATTTAAATTGATTTTCCAAAAAACTCAGCAATCCTTGAAACTTTTTTGATGGCATCTTGGTGAACATCCCAAAGCGCAAATTTGCCCCAATTTAACCATCTTCGTATCTATTACGGTTACCGAGACACAATGCTCGTACCTCGAATTTGAAGCACCCTGTATAGGAAATTGCTTAATATTAAATTTCTCGTGAGGAGGTGATTTATCGTTCACGTGTGCAAGTCAAGTCCCAAATTTATTTCTTCTATTGAGGAAAAATATAATTTAAATTTTATTAGTTATTCATTAATTCTATTTATTCCCAAAAATACATGTCACAGACTTAAAGTGACACATCTTATTTTTTCCTGGTTTCTCAATTTTGATTTACCTTCTTTTTAAGCATTTCTTCTTTTATCTATTATATCTATTATAATAAAATAAAGCCTTTTTTATAAAGGTTTTTACGACTAAACTTAAGTAGATAATCAATTTTATTAAAAACACCCACTATATTAACAATTTTGCACCCAAATAACCCTTTCGTCTCCCACTTAAAAGCATCAAAAACGAAACTGTAAAAGATGTAATCGAGACCGCAATCCAGACCCATTAACAAAACCATCTCGACGGGCTGACGACCACGAGGTAGGAAGCGCGCCCTAACCCAGCACCTTTCTTCTTGAAAAGGGGATGAAAAGTAGCATAGGGATGTCTATAATGTATCGATATATTAAAATATCATGGAGGTGGATGGATATATTACACAAAAAATATCGATTTATT